AGCTTGATCCATCTTTTCATATCTAGGGCCCCCAAAACACGCAAAATAAAGACGAATTAGTAATTTTAACCGCGAACGATTTTTCCTGTATCATAATCTCAAAAATCCATTAAAATATGGAAACCATTCAAACCATCTACATATGAGAAACCATACCTTCTGATCATCCCAACCAACTCGAGCTAATCCTACGCATGGTGAAGACTCATGGTACACTAAACATCACCTTTGACATCATCCAGCATGGAGGAAATTCAAACAAACCAGGTTCTATCCCTGCTGCTTTCTTTCGTTCTGCAATCTTCAACAACTGTGAAGCAGCTTCAGCACAAGTGAGATACCGAGGTGGCTCGTAGATTTTTCTACCCCTAAAGAAGAGGACAAATTTCCCATTTTCTACCACTGATGCATACCTCATCATGTTTTCAATGGACTGTTCCTTAGTTTTGATATCTGAAATGTACTTTTGCAAAACCAGAGGAGAAAGATAGAAATAAGCACCTAACAAGCACAAAGTGTGGAAGCCTTTCTCCATGTTTGAAGCAATTTTATCGTAGTAGCTATCCGGCTCCCATCCTTCCAACCACATCACAATCGACACCGTCTCACCAAAGTTATATAACTACAAGCGTAAATTTGCAAGTAGCTCCCGTATTTTCCTACCAACTTGTAGAAATAGGCAGCATTCTTCTACCTTAGAGGGCAAAGACATATTTTGCCGAAAATTCTAAGTCTATTAGGATTAATCAGAGGACCAACTTTAGTTTGGAATAAAGTAGTATTGTACTCTTTTTTTTTCGAAGAAAGCGTGATTCCACATAAAAAACAAACCTGAAGTCCACAGCATCCCACTGCATTCATTATGGAAGCATTGTGCACTACTTTTACCTGGAAAACGGGCGTATTATGATTTTCTTGAAAAAAAAATTCTAAGAAGCGCTTGCTTCGGATCTGACCCTCAACTGACCGGAATGTTTCTTTCTTTAGCTCGAAGGACTAAATCTGTGTGTGTGGTGGCTCCAAAAGGATCACCAACAACTAACATTGCCACATCATCTACATCTGCTCCATCCAGTATTTCATCTAGAAGTTTTCTAATAGGCTTTTGATTCTAAGATTTCAAGAAGGGCAATGTATCCAAGGATTTGATTCCGTTTAGAAAGTTAGTCAATGTGGAAGCGTTGTTGACCAAGAAAAAATCGGCCATTCAACAGAATTTATAAGAATTATTCATACTCCTCTTCAAACAAACTCTTACTATCAAATGAATTCCAGCTGACGCCAATTCTACCATCTTCCAAAACAACTCGTGATAGTTTTCCTTTTCGACTGATT